TGCTTTACTGAATCCCACTTTTGCATTTGGAACTGTCTGTAAATAAACATACAAATTTTTGGTCAGGTGACTCTGAAAGTGATTTATGATATCATGAAGTAATAATGTATACTGTAGGTGTCAAGAAGCTTGGTAACCTGCGTGACTACACTTCACATTAGATTTTATATTTATGAAATACATTTTTAATAATATCTAACAATATGTAATTAAAAAATTACAATGTTTTGTAACCTTAGATTTCGTGGTAGTTTTATTTACAAGGCAGGTCAAAAATGTTATCAGATTTCATCATTCTTCCTACCTTCATAACTTCTGCTTGTGGCATGCCTGTTTCAGGGATATGGTTGTACAACACTGCTTCGTGACTTCCTAAATTGGCAACCTGTTGGCCTTCCCCAGTTAACTCCCATCTAGTACTCTTCGTAGGCTCAGACACAACCATCTCAAGAGCCTCCAAACTTTTCACGGCGCCAACTATTTTTTGATGATCTTCTTCAAATTCGCTAGCTAACTTAATAGTGTCCACTTTATCATTTTTATCTAAATAATGCAGAATTCTTTCATTAAGTTCCATTTTATTTATTGATTTTTATATGATTTTGGTTTAATGAGGTTATGAAGCCACGGACCAACTTTCGAAGAAAATAAAATGTCACTGTCTAGCTGTCAAAAAGATTAAACGTCAATGTCAGTACCATTTTGTATCTACGTTTTGTTCCTACATTAACGTTTCTGATTTGTGCTTACCACGGAATATAGAATACAATGGAAGTAGCTTGAAACAATATTTCTGCCAGAACCGGTGTCGCCAAACTAATACATTTATAATTTACTCATACTATAAATCGGAAATTACGATTGGTTAGAAAAAAAATGGGCGTAAACGAAATGCAAAAAAAATATCATACGATATGCAACTTTAAAACCAATGTACTATAAATCAAAATAAAAAAGTATGTTTTGGACTACCAAGTACCGCCATTCGTCGCTAGATGGCGTTTAACAATGCCATCTAGCGACGAAAAGTGGTACTTGGTTTGAACTTTAACGTTGTAAGAATAAAGGTGATATTTGAATGGCTTATCACTGGCTCGAATGCGGGTCTCTACTCAGATAGTGATGTAGGATAATTCGATAAAAATAATATCGATAATATGAAAATGTGTTTTAAAAATAATATGAAAAAAAATATTGACTGCTATAGTGTGACAGTATTAAAATAATAAAATTAATATGTCGTTGATAACTTTTTAAACGTAACAAAAAAGGGTAAGTATTTATTTACATGTAAATCAAAAACCATTTTGTTCGTATTTTTTATTAGTTTCTTTTTTCAAAAAATCATTTTTTTTATTTCACATAGGCAATATAAGTAACAACTATTACATCAATTTTTACAAACTTTATATGGATAATGTGATAAATGAGAGGGATGGCGATAAGGATGACGGTGCTGATCTGCTCCGTGAAGTGAAGGTTGCTTCCAATCACGTCGGGGTCACCACTAAAATAATAATAAAAAAATAATCTAAATAAATGTTACATTACACTTGCATCGATATCAATCGATAAATTCAATATGTGATTTGACTACATAACTATTTGAGTAGCGTAGAACTGGCGAGAATGTTCTATTGAATGGAATAAATCCAAAATAAACTTTATCTTGAAGGCGTAAGGTTGATTTTGACTAACCGTTTTAGTAAATAATATTATTTTAATAACTGTTTTTGTAAATTGAAATAAAATAAGATTTCTACAAGAAAACAATAAAAATTGTACTTACCGATGATACGGAACACCTCCATTTTTACGATTTTTCGGCTGCTATCATTTTTACACGCCAAAACGGAACAAAACGGCATAGTTGAGGAAATATGTATTTGACACGAGACTAGCAACTCGACGCCATGTTCGAACGAGACTGAACTCAAATTTTGCCTCGAGTAAGCAGTACACAGCTTAGCTGTGGCACGCGTGCCACGCCTACTTGCTACTTCCATTGTATTCTATATTCCGTGGTGCTTACCATAAGCAATAACAAATAATAATTAGTAAGGATGACTGCACGGTTGGCGCGATGGCTGGGTACAGAGAGGTCTAGCTACTGCTGGATATAGATTGATTCCAACCAGACGAGCCTGAAATCAGTATATGTTCTGCAATGGACGTTTTGCCGCGGAATGCCTAAATGAAAAAAATAGTACAATTTAAATGAATATATATGTACAACTTAAATTATAACTAACTAAAAACTAAAATATATATCTTAAAAAAAGTAATAATACTAAAAATGCCTTCTTAAGGCATCAAAAAAAAAATTACCTCATCGTTATCGTGAGGTAGGGTGACCAAAAGACTGGCAGCACTGCCATGCTGAATGGCAATACTTAACCTTTGTCTAAGGTAGTACCCAGCTCCTCAACTTTAGGGTCCCACGGCCCTAAAGTTTCAACCCCAAACGGTTCGAAAACATAATTGTCAATCAGGCTAACGTATACTTTCGCCGTTTGAGGTTCTCGGCAGCAACAGCGGCAGAGCATCGGCTCCACACGCTGAGCTTGGAAGATGGGATAGCGCCAGAGTATTAACGCAATTGGCGTCATTACTAAAGGCCTACCCACCTAATGGCTTGGTACGCGACGTACGAAGAGTCAGGTCTCTTGCCATCGTCGCGTAGGTACCAAGCCATTAGGTTCTAAAGTAGCTGGCACGCCAACGGAGACGAGAAGAGCTCGACGAATTATGTCATTAATACTGGCGTGTCGAACAAAACGGCCTGCACTACGGCTACACGACAAGCCGTGGTGTCCAAGGCTGTTGACATCTTCACCACAACGATAATGATGAGCCGAACAATATCAAGCTCCAAGCCTTAAAGAAATTGCAGCGCGGAATGTGATGTCGTCCAACAAAGTACCTAGGTTGAACGAAGGCAAACCAAGAAGCCATAACCCCGACTCCAACTCACTCACAGCCAAAAGGCGAGCTCGCTCTGTACATGAACAAGCGGTGTTCAACAGATTTTCGCTCACTTTTCTGCAGAGCGACTCGTCCCATTGCCTCTGGGAGAGTGATTTGCCTTGTAGAGAGGGGGGGGGGGGTCAAGCTTTCACAGCTTCCATCAAATATGGTACATCAAAATAAACCAGTGATTGAGTAATAATTTTCCTGAAAGTATTACCGGCGCCAAGCCCACCCATGCGGACAGAATGCGGACAGGCAGAGTAGCTTGTGTCCAGGCTCGGTCGTCGAGAGCCACATTCAAAATTAAGGACAAAGTTTGTCTAATGATTTGGTCAATTTTTTCCAAAAGAAGGGGTGCTGACCGGAGTTGTATGCCGGAAATGTATGCTACAAGTAAGTAGTACCTAATCTTAATTTCATTGATAAAACAAGTCAGATAGCAAATGAGCACATTATTGTAAAATACTTAATGTGTGTAACCCATCACGTGTACGTACTCATCATCATCCAATACAATGTCATAATTATGCATCTTATTTTAACTCGTCGAGTACCGTTTTTGTAGACACAATTATAGAACAATAGGTTGCGGTCACCGGTGACCGCTTGGTGTTTGACAGTTTAAATTCCGGTAAGCTAGGGCTTTAATTGTTTTACGAAATGAGGGAGCAACTAAGGCAGGACTAACAAGCAGACGGAACATTCAACGGGAGCAAATGGGTACTTGCCAACTAGTCAAATTCAATACTTTTTTCGAACTGTCAAAAACGACAGTTTCCTATGAATTTTGTACGAGATTGTGTATTGTGACGTCAAGTTTTTTAGCATCAAACAGCATAGGTATTTATTAATATTAACTATAAAAATACTAAAATTAAGTTGGTCATAAAATCAATTAATGAAAGTGTGATTATTTTCTAATTACTTATTGTATTGAACAGTCGAAATATTTTTTTTTTGATTATGGAAAGTACCCAATTAGCGGCGCTTACCTGCGAGCGCGACACCAGACGAAGTACAAAAGTTCATTGTCGACCTTTGCAGGAGGGGATGAGGGACTGGGTGTTCAGTAACTCATTCGTACGGCGAAATCCAACATGAATGTTTTTTCACGCCACCGGTATTCTGTGAAGCGGTGAACTTTGAACTTTCGCGCTGTTCATAAGGCACTTTCCTATCAATTATTATTTATTTTATGACAAAAAATGGAACGACTCTACGAAGATATTAGCAGTTGGTGAGATGACGTATAAAATGCAATGATGAGCTCTCTAATTACATAGGACTTACAAGGTTCATCTCTTTTGCTAACCGGTAGGACCTAAAAATGGGTATAGGACCTATTAATAAAATTGTGCATTACTGCCTACCCCCTCTGCGGGCTCACAACCGAGAGGTTATGTACCTAATGTTTATTAATATGTACAACATAGGTACAAGAATAATTTCATTAAATATGTAGTCGATAGGTAGCACAGAACACATTTCAGCACACTCGTGCTTATCCCTCGCGAAATAGTAGCCGTAATTTTTTTTTATGGCATAAGCCGGTTAACGAGCAGACGGATCACCTGATGGTAAGCAATCGGCGTCGCCCATGGACACCTGGAACACCAGAGGCGTTACAAGTGCGTCACCGGCTTTTTGGTGATTAGGAGTTTGAGGATCGTTGGGGATTCAGGGATTGGGGAGATTGGGGAAGGGGAAGGTAATTGGGCCTCCGGTAGTTGCTTCACGTCGGTTTTCTTTGAGGCCGTGGTATCATTCCGGTCGAGCCGGCCCATTCGTGCCGAAGCATGGCTCTCCCACACCTAAAATAACGTACATAATATTACATAAACAAGCTTTTCTATCCTTTATCAAAAATAATTCATAACAAAATGATGAAATAAAGTCCAACCGTTGCCTAGGGTGATATCATGTATCATTGCTGTTTTGAAAAATTTGTACAGTCATCGTTCCAAAGTCTAATTCTGACTCGATTTGAATGAAGCAGATTAATATAATACGCGGCTTCCCCGCCCTATTTTATTAGTTCACTCGGTTGTTACATTCGTCCATGACGTGTGACGCGGCGGGAAAAATATTCGAATTTCAAAAATATTTTTTAACGTAATTACATTTTTTTAGTTGTGATTCTCGTAATTTAATTTGAAACAAGGTAAGTTATTTAGGTTTAATAGTTTTAATATTTTGTGCTGAAATAATTTTTGTTTTATTCATATATCAAGTGTTAGTTAATTATTTCTTCAGCGGAAAACATTTTATTTGTAAATATTTATTAATTTAGGTACTGTTATGTGCTGAAATTGTAAAATCCAATAAAACTACACAAAAAATAGTACTTTCAGTCAGTCAGGTATTTCGTTATTGTCTTTTTACGGACTTCTTACTCAATAATTAAAAAAGTTAATTTATTATCTATTTTATTTATTGAATTGACAAAGAAAAAACATGACTACGAAGATAAATAGCTTGATCAGTATGTTGCAAGTTATGTGATGGTCAAAAACCGCATTTTTTATGAAGTCGTTCAAAACCTGTCCGAGTGTCTTCTAACCTTTTTTAGACACCTACCTACAAATTAAAAATAATTAGTTTGGCATCTAAATTAGATATGAGAAGAATAATTTGATATTGTATTGATTTAAAGTCTGTTTAAAATACTATGAAAATATAGATTTTTTTGGATTCGATAATAATTGTTCACATGTAAAAAGAGTCTTAAGTAATATTAAATGCAGTCTGATTAAGTTAGTTGAGATCTGATTAATAATCTAAGTTAATCCCACTTTTTTATTTCCCGAAATACCAGGATAGTAGGTAGTTAGGTAGGATACTTTGTTGATTTTTTATTACTATTCTTAAACCTATCCAGGTTGTCGCGGACAACCTAACGGGTTACCGGGGCTCCGGCTCGAAGTGCAGGAGAAGGAACGGGGTGGTTTTTAGTCAGTAAGAGTCTGACACTCCCTCCCGTCTCACTCAGGCGGGAGAAGTCATTCGATGTATTTCCCCCGTTAAAAAATCCAGGTTAATAAATATCAAGACAATCCTTCCTCATTGGATAAATTAAATTAAAAACGTATTTTTCATAAATAACAATAATAAGTTGCGTAAGTACCTATGCAGTCTACGCGCAGCAAAGTGCTCACCTATAAATAAAAGTCCGACAAAATCTTTGTTTCATAGGGCAGTAGTTGTATCTGTAAATATGTATAACTTTCACTAATATCATGGATAAACATAAAGCTTTCACATGATGAAGAACGCAAGCGTTGTTTCACGTCGGTTTTCTGCATGGCCGTGGTACCACTGCGGTCAGACCGGCCCATTCGTGACGACATATATTGTTTACCATGTGAAAAAGATACTTTGAATCAATTAGGAAATAAAACTATACTGGGATTCTGAGATAACATCCTCATACATACTATCTAGATAGATAATAGTACCCATATATTATGTTTTCATAAAGCTTTTTGTATGTTTATAGATGTCACGGTTAGACGTGGTGATATTTGGAGCTACCGGGCTTGCCGGGAAGCAGGTGGTCGTTTACATGACGAGGCTCTCCAAAAAATATGACTTCGGTCCTTGGGGAGTCGCTGGACGGTCTCAGGCGAAGCTTAGCGCTTTGATGGCAGAAATCTCTAGAGAAACTGGTAATTATGATCCTTTTTTATTTACTTTTATTTCGATTGCTTCGATGAGTGTTTGTCATACTCGTAACTGCTGGCTCTTGATCGGTACTCATGGTCCCAGGGCAAGCAAACTTTCAGACTATGAACTTGATTGATTGACATCGAAATGATCAATCTCTCTCAACCAAAAAACTGTCTACCATGACAATGAAAGTAAAATTGTCATAAGGTTATGCTGAAATCGATACTAAGATTTTACAGGCTGATAATATTGAAGTATCAATCGTACCATATAAAAATTACACCTATAAATCTAAGAAGAAGCAACCCACATTGGTAATGTCAGATTTGAGAAAACGTCTAATGTTTTTATTAGATTCTCTTCTTCTTTTTGATATATCAGTTTTGAACTCTAATAAAAAGGAATAGTTAGAAAAAATACGTTTGATGAAAGTTACTGACATTGTGGGCATTTTTTCCACATTGCATAAGTAGATCCTAAATATACTAGCTACTTCCACACGGTTCCACCCGGTTTGCTCGGTTCGTAGCGTGATATTTTATAGTCTATAGCCTTCCTTGATAAGTGAAAAATTCAACACAAAAATATTTTTTCAAATCGGACCAGCAGTCCCTGAGATTAACAAGTTCAAACAAACAAACTCTTCAGCAAAAGTAAAAGATTTATCACGATTATAGCTTTACAGATTGTGTACAACATTACAAACGCAACAAATAATGTACAACCTCGAAATATAAGTGTCCTACTGAACTGAAATAGTGCTTCGTCATTAGCAAAAATCAATATTTTATACATCATACACGTAGCTAATATTGTGTTGTAGAGTACTTAGGGACGCCATGAATATTTCTTGTGTACCTGCTATGCTCCTAACTAGTTGATTTCAAAGCTAGCATGGTTATTGTTCATAGATAATAGCTATCGATTTTCTTCTTTTTTTTATGGGATAAGCCAGTAAACGAGCAGACGGATCACCTGATGGTAAGCAATCAGCGTCGGTCATGGACACCTGGAACACAAAGGCGTTACAAGTGCGTTACCGGCCTTTTGGGAATTGGGAATTTGAGGATTGTGGAGGATTCGGGGATTCGGGAGACTAGGAAGCATGGGTCTCCCACACTTAAATATCTTTTAATTAATTCTTCTCCTCTGATAATATCTTCTTATTTATGCGCCGGTTTTCAGTGTTTCGGTGTTTTCATGGTTATATCTACTGTAGATCCTGGCTTATAGGAGTAGCAGCGGTTTTGGGAGATTGTAGCGGGCTTTTCTCTTAATAAAAGATAGATAATAGGGATATAAGAGGATTCAGAGGTGATAAGAAAACGTTTTTCAAAGTACTATTCCTACAATTCAAAAATCATCTACCTATTAAGAAAATTTTAACGATCTTTCAAAGGATATGTTAATGTTTGTTTACCTACTACGTTAAAGTTCCAGTTATATAATGATATTGGTTTCAAGAATATTTAATCAGTACCTACTTGAAACCTTCACGAATATTGCTGGACGTGGCAATTGAATCTTTTAAAGCAGTAGTCAGTAGTTCCTAGACCTATGCACACCTAGCCTATAAAATGAGCCTAGGTATAGTAAGTCATGTAAATAGTAAATACCTAGTGATCATGTGAATATAATTATCTGTAATTCTTTATATCCGCGATGAGTAAGACTATATGTGTGCAATAATAATTATTCTAGAAGTGAGTAAACATATTTTTTATAGACTTCTTCAATCTGTTAGTTTTGACCTTTTGTAATTATTAACTCATTATTGTTATTTACTGCAAAGTACCTATGTGAACTTTGAGCCGTGATCGAAATGATAACATTGTAAAAGATAATGGTATCTAATCTTTATCTTTAACGATAGGTGTGTTATGAATTAGAATGACTCGGCTGGCAATTATACGGTCTAATCTCGGAAATATTAAGCGGTGATTCTTTCCATTTTTAACAGTTCTTTTGTAACGACTGAAGTCTTTTCATTTTGATTAAGTAAAAACTATATAGAAAGGGGTTAGTGAAACAACAATCTGAATAGAAATAGTCGATAGTTCACAAAGGTGAGTCAGCTATTGAGAAGGGCAAGGTTATACTGAAACTCCCTTTATAGACATGCGCAGTAGATATGTTGTGGTCAGAATTATTGTGGACTATAATTAAAGTTAGGGACCATAATTTTCCACTATTTTGGTGCTGAGTAGTAGATAATAATCAAAGAGTGGATAACTTTTCTTTTTTCGTCAAAAGAGATCGTAAGCGATATTAGCGAATTAGGTCTTGGCTTATGTTTTGTAATCAATCAATCAAATCAATAAAATTACTTATGTTTTGTAATCAACATAAATTGACTAGGATTCTGATCTAAGTCCACACCTATCCGCACCTCTACATAGTGTATTCTACTAATATTTATTACTCCTTCATGTCAAAACAGCTGAAGGGTTTTCGAGCTTCAGCCAGAATAACACATACACCACTTTTTACACGGGAACGTGGGTGGAGCCACTGGCAGAATAAGCTAGTTTAAAATACTTACCTTTACTTTGACTTTGTCAAGAGACGGAAAGCCAAAGTTCACAGGGCAACAAAAACTCCATCGAATAGTTTTTATCGCTACCTTGATCGAATGGCTAGCGAGCTATGGTTAAATGAACATAAAAATATCGTTCTTGATTATAAAAAATACCCTTATGTGTCTATCAAAGGCAAAATCTACATGTCTGCATACTTATGTAGAAACAAAAATTAAATTTAAAATAATAACACACGTTATTATTTTAAATGGTCTAAAAGGATAAGCAAAGTTGCAGATATGTTCTACGTCGAGAAGACGTGGAAAGCGAAAAGTTGACAGTTTATTCACGAATATGAAGAAAAAGAAGTTACTAAAGTAATTAATATGTTGCGTGGATAAGTTCGGTTACTCCGCCATAGCTAGTAGATGTGATATCATTGAAGAACTGGTTTTATAAACGATTTCTTTAATTCTGGCCAGAAGTATTAAGAAAGCTTGTCACCTATAGAGCGGTTAAACCATTCAAGTTAAGCAAACCGAGGTCAATAAGAGCATCTACTTAACCAAGTGAAGGTTGATAATTCTTTCCATCCTACAAATTAAGAATAGCTTTCAATTTTGGTCATATGCCTGAATAATTCTGCCGCCTTCATTTATATCTGTTCTATGGTATCTTTCTGATAATCCACTCAAAAGCCTATTTTCTGTTTTGACAACACGTTTGGGTTGACCTCGAAAGCATCCGTCCGTTCTCATGCTGCGTAGTAAGTAGGTAACTCTTAAATTATCTACTATTTTTTCGAAAATATCCAGCAGTTGTTGTTGTTGATAACCCATAACCTTTAACCGACATGCATGCATGAAAAGACTAATTACTGTTGATGAAGCGAAATAGGTATGTAAGAATCTAAGCATTTGGCGAGCCAGAGACTGCGAACCCCCATGGGAGACAGTAGTGAGGTTATCTATGTTAGTTAATAATGAGGTGGATTACTGACCGACAGACGACAAACAAAACGTTCGTCTTGAACAGTCCCATATGACTAGCAGCATACTGGCAAAACCGCATCATTACTAATTATTCTTTCAGTGCAGAATTGGGATGACGATAGGATATGAAAATTATTAATCTAATTAGTCCGTCAGTTAGGTAATGAAAAATATTAGACACGTATTTTTTATTTTGATGTATGTATAATAAAATGATACTTAGATATAACGAATCAAAGTATAGGAGTGGGGGCTAAAACCTAATTTCTACGTATAAAATGTACATAGAAGTGACGTCACGCGACATATCAAATCAATATGATGGTCGAAAGTATTCGTTTCTGTAAGAAAATAAAAAATACGTGTGCAAAGTTTTAAAATAATCTACTAGACGGTCATTTAAATAAAAATTAGGCATTAGCATAGGTGTTACGTGTAACTTAAAAACTCATTCAGACTTTGATATGAATGTAAATACTTAAATAGATAGAGCAATCAACCAATCATATACTTTATAAGACTTATAATAGATAGGAATACAAAGGATTAAAAAAAAAGATTTCTCAGGTTTGATAAACAGTAAATAGATACTCAGATACAATAATAACGACCTACGCACCATGTGACTTGATAATTTTATTATTTTACGTTGAATCACTATGACGAAGCATTTTTTTGTGTCCATGTGGGCCATTCGTGAGACAAACGTTACTAGTTTTTTAAACATAGCTAATATGTCAGACATATACTTATGTATATATATATTTATATTAATAATTGGAATGTAGTTATGCATGTTTTGCAGCTTAAGCGGAAAAATATTGATTTTAATCTTGTAGAAATATTGTCTGGTTTAAATTATGTATATAGCGATTTTATAAGTAGCCGGCTATTTATTATTTTGTCGTTTTTATGGTTGTGTTATGTTGTAGCCACTCTTTGTTTATTTAACTACGCAATGTCCTCTCTACATAATAGCTATGATTGTTAGTTTGTAATGTGAATGGTACAAAATATATTATCCTTTATTAAGTATATTATATTGAACTCTTATTTTTTAATATAAGTGTTGACTAATCTAACAACATTTCTTCATATACCTAGGCAGGTAATTTCTTGTTTACACGTAAAATTTTACACGAGGCGAATAAAAAATCTATAAGCAAGTCTGCTTCTGTGGATCTTTTCAATTAAAGTACAAGATGCCGATGTACCTAGACATTGTTACATCTCTGTAAAAATGCAAGGTCATCTTGACAGAAACTAAATATTATGTGTTAATACAACAACTAGTACATAATGTAAAGAGTTATAAAGTAATATTTACGGAGACTACCGTATTTGTGTAGTTCTCATCAATAGAATGCGTCGGTGACGTCATGGTCTACAAGTGCCCATGTACTAGTGTGGGTAGTAAATGTTTGTTTTAAATTAGTTTTAGCACGACATGTTCGTGTCGCTCAGATTTTATAAGGAAATTATAGACTGTGTTCATTGTTTAGATTATAAGTCGCGAAGCAATGATGCAGGATTGTGGGTAATTTTCCTAAGAAATAAAGTTATTATGAGGAAGGAGAATTAGCGTCGATCTTAAGGAGATAAGCAGGAAAAACGATGCTCACAGCCCCCTTCTAAATTTGTCTTCTAAATCTCCTTCTTCCTCTTCTGCTGACTACTTTACTACTGACAAGTTCTGCGTTTGACCACTTTCTGCGTGTATCTTCATTTAATGTTAACGTAGTCGAGTGGGATGTATCGACGGAGCTGACTGGAGACATTTCTCCGCTCCGCAAAGCATCATCCTCAGGGTTGTCGGCTGTAATATTTGGGGCGCCCCTCTCTTCTCCCACCCCAACTCCTGCCCGCCTGCTCAGCAGAGAGTCGCTGGCTAGCCCTGCTACACGCCCGTCACCAGCCACAGACGTGTCCCGGCGATAGCCCCCGGGTAGCGGCGTTAAACGTTTATTCTATTCAATTCACTCAATTTTGTTTATTATTCACATTGATTAGTAATAGTAATAATATTAAACAGATAATAGAATAGACCCCAGATACAGATGGTATGCAAATACTACAAATATATAAGGTTTTAAGTAGCCGTGTCAGTACGTTATCGTCAGATTTGCAAATAACCGTAGCAAACCGCTGGGAGACCTTTGATCACCAACTTAACTGATCATGATGATGATGACTATTTTCTAGGCGAAGACCTGTCCTCTATAAAGCTGATAGTAGCGGACGTCGGCGATGATAAGTCGCTTCGTGAGATGTGCGCTCAGACCAATGTGTTGATCAACTGCTGTGGCCCCTACCGCCTCTACGGGGAGCCTGTCGTCAAAGCCGCCATTGAGAGCAAGACCAACTATGTGGATATTACTGGGGAACCACAGGTATTTAATACAACATTACTGAGTAGATGATGATACGTATCTAAGTATTTAGCAACGCAATTCTAAAGCCTCTGAGCTCTGGTGATCCATTTGCTCATTCCCTACCCTAATTATCTCATACTTTATAGTTTTGTGTAAAGGAACAAGCCCATTTGAGAGGTCGAGTACAGAATGGGTGGCGTGACTGAATGTGGAATTATACGCAAATAGAGTCTCTGATAGGGGTGAATGTAAGTGAACTGGACATACATATAGGTAGCGTCGATCTTAAGAACTTGGGATAAAGGTTATTTTGCCCTTTCTTTTCCAGTTTATGGATCTCATGCAGATTCGTTACGACGAAAAAGCTCGCGAGGCAGGAGTGTTCGTGATCAGCGCATGTGGATTTGACAGCATCCCATCCGACATGGGCGTCACCTTCCTTAAACAAAACTTCAAAGGTTTGTTCACTGTATTAATTATTAAATCTTGTAGTCATATAGAAGGCTTAACAGAATAAACTAGCTAGAATAACTATATTGTACAGACGTTATGCTTTATTCACAGGCACATTGAACTCTATAGACTCGTACCTCAGTTTCTACTTACCCCCTGAACTTGATGCGGAAGCGAAAGAACATGGAGTGATAGGCACTGGTACTTGGGAGTCATTTGTATATGGGTAAGTAATGTTAGATATATCATCATATTAGTCAAAAGACTATTGATTAGAGGCCTTCCTTAATGACGTCTAGACAAGTCCTAGCAGTTAAAAAGTTAATAAAGTCGATATTCTGTGGTTGCTTGGACGGTGGACCTGCATATACCCAATCTTTCTAAAACAAGTCGGTTATGTCGGTTATTGAAAAGTTTTTCATTCCAGTGCTGCATTTGTTAATGAGATGCCGAGGCTTCGCAAGGCACTGTTCCCCGAACCAGCGCCGCAGATGAAACCTGTCGTTAAACAAAAGTAAGTGTTTTGTCAAATATTTAAAGATTTTAAGGTACAAAAGTTGTTAAAGAGTGTTTTCTCTGCGGAAATGAGACGATATATAAAATTGTTTGGTAACCGTAAAAATGGAGTTTCTTGCTCGTTCTTCTCCATAGGAATCTACATACACCTTGGAATGAGCAAATAGCTTCACTTTTAATTTTATTGTTGACGTTCAAAAATGCCTGTCTGGTCTAATTAAATAAATGATATTGACTTTGACTTTGAATGACATAAGTCTCAAGTCTTAAAATTATATTCAGAAACAAATATTTCGGTTTCCAGGAGCATGACTAAAAAGGATAACCAATGGTACTTCGAGTTTCCCGGAGCTGATGAATCAGTAGTTTATCGAACGCAGCAATTTTTATACCAGAACGAACAACAGCGACCCGTGCAGTTCAACGCTTATTTTAAGACTGGATCTCTCTGGCGGTCCATGGGTATCGCTATGAGGGCTCTAACTTTACTGGTCATGTCTAAGAGCGAGTGCACGAGGAAGTATTTGTTGAATAATCCGAAGTACTGGTCAGGGGGATATGTGACGAAGGAAGGTCCCACAGCTAATGTTACCAATAACTCTAACTTTACTTTCGAGATGGTTGGTAATGGCTGGCCCGAGGGAGCTGACGTAGAGAAGACATTGCCGACAAAAACCGTAGTCGCTAAGGTATGTGTTCATTGTTGATTGTGTCTATAGTCTAGTTCCCTAACTAGACTACCCCGGCAACCCGGTAAGTCCCTGACTTACCGGGTTGCCGGGGCTCCGACTCGAAGTGCAGGAGTAGGAACCGGGTGGATTTTAGTCAGTAAGAGTCTGACACTCCCTCTCGCCTCACCCAGGCGGGAGAAGTCATTGGATGATTTTACGTCTTCAAAAAAAAAGTTAGGTACATATAATGTTTCTTAGATTAGTTCCCCGTTACTTCATCCAAGGTGCTGAAAGTTTCATTAATTTATAACTTAAACCTCCAACAAGGAGAGGGTCTCCATTCTCTGATGAATATCAAGTGTGGGAGAACCATGCTTCGGCACGAATGGGCCGGCTCGACCGGAGTGATACCACGGCCTTACAGAAAACCGACGTGAAGCAACGCTTGCGTTGTGTTTCGTCGTGTGAGTGAGTTTACCGGAGGCCCAATTGCCCTCCCCTTCCCCAATCTCCCCAATTCCTGAATCTCGAACGATCCTCAAACTCCTAATCCCCAAAAGGCCGGTAACGTACTAGTAACGCCTCTGGTGTTCCAGGTGTCCATGGGCGACGTCGATTGCTTACCATCAGGTGATCCATCTGCGTCTGCTCGTTTACCGGCTTATGCCAAAAATCAGTAGTTTGAAAGCACACAAGACTTTATTGCACACTGGCGCCACTAGCGGAAAACTCATCGCAATATATTTCTGTTCATTCAAAAGCTTGTCTTGTAGGTACTCAATCCTTAATGAATGCGTTGTATTCCAGATCACCGGCAAGAACCCCGCGTACGGCGCCACCGTGGCGGCCGTCCTCGCGAGCGCGCACTGCGTGCTCCGCGAGCGACACCTCCTGCCCGCGCCGTCAGTATACCCTTGTACCTTTCTTTGATGATGGCTATCCTCTTATGACGCTTGCTGTCCTTTACCAACCTTCCTAACCAACTTTCTTAACTGACTTTAAAATAAAAAAGGAGGTTCTCAGTTTTACCTGTATATTTGTATGTTTGTGCTCGATTATCTTGCGATTTGCTAAACCGATTTTGATGTGGATTTCAGAAAAGTGATTTGTTACACTTAGGAAAAAGTTTTTGAGTATATTAATTTACTGGCTTCAATTTTTTGATGATTGGAGTAAACTTTAAACTAACGACTACAGGGAGTCTGAAATTTTTAACTCACTAAAGTTATCTTAGTAGCCACGATAATTTTGCAGCGCCTAGCGCGTGTTGCGAAACTATAGCTACCGCTGCCGCGCTAGTAGATATTTAAATATGAGATATTTTTACTCACAAGATGGCACTAGTGTAAAATTCTCGTTTTTAGTCTAATAGGGAATTACGTAGTATCACACCATTGGACGTTAAAACTACAGTGATTGGATAAAAATCTTCTTGATAGATTGACATCATCTGGTGACATAAAGTATGGTAGCCTCCATTGCGTGTTCTAGGATTTTAATGGCACAAGTTGTGACTTGTGCCATTGAGTTCACATACACATTCTGTGGAATGTGTATGTGAACTCATATGTTTGTAAACGCACTCACGACAAAGGAGAAAATCCTAGTGTAGGGCAACTTTTTTTTTAAGAAGTAAAAAAAACTACTGCAATTCCTATAAGCCACCTCCTCCTATTTTTACATAAGTTATTTATTTTAAAATATTTTTTTTCCAGTGGGGGAGTAATGTCACCTGGTTCGGCCTTCAAGAACACCACACTCATACAGAAGCTGAATGACAACGATCTGAAGTTTGAAATTATTAGCAAGTAATACCCAGCCTAGCTTAGATTAACTTTAGGTATTAAGTTTTTGCTAAGTAGTGGAATTTGCACGAGTAGATAGGTACTAAGTGTATTTATAAGTAGGTTAGTATTTTGAGTGAAACCTAGACTTAGGAGCAAAGAAACAGAACCATTAGCGTTATTTAAAGGACATACTTTACCAATTAATAAAATAGTTGTATCACAAAATATCCATCCATGGCTCCATTTCTTTGCTTCCAAGTGTATTTTGTGATATTATTGGGCCTCGGTGGTCCATTAAAGATTGTACAAACTGCTTATAGTGTAAGCAGTTAATATATAAGTGCAAAATATCGAGGATCATAATACATATTTATTTCATGAAGATAATCTACCTCCGCCCTAGTTTTGGTTTTGCAAAATAAACTTTATAGTGTAGTACAAAATGATTCAATTTAGAGTAAGTTAAACATCTGTACAACTTTTTCTTAATATGAATATGGATTCTATGAAACCCATAGAATCTTTTATTCAGTTCCATACGTGATATTGTAATAATTTCTGTTAAATACTGTTAGTGCTGCCATCTAAGATCATTGTTGACCTTTGAACTAAAATGATCTTACTGTTTTGAAAATTGTTCTACCGTATAGGTATAGATGTCGCTAGTTAAACACTTTTATAACTCTTAGTAGTTCTAGCACAAGTTGGTTTAAGTATGTCGACAAAAGATGGCGCTGAGTGTATGTTGTGGTATAAATGGCCAGTTTGATTTTATTAGCTTTTATTTAATGTTGTATTAAATATTTAGTTTATTGTAATAAATTTAATGTTTATCTAAATAAGTGTTCTCGATGTGATATAGTTACATGTTTTGCTAATAAATGTTAAATACCTATTTATAATATATTTTTTAAATTCTATGCTGTAGCAGTTTCTCTAGGTTAGGTACTTAAGAGAATTAACATAAAGGACTTGGTTATTTATTTAATTCGAGGCTTTTAAATAGGCAGCCTGAACATTTCTGATCAAATGCCTTCCTCTAGAACGGATTCGCCCTACCAACTTCACAATAGACGAACAGTGGGACGCTACAGATTGTTGAGTGAAAAGATGCTATTGTTTATTTTTCTTTGTCATCCGACTGTTACCCAATTATAGACAAAGTGAAAATAAAAATAATTTATTTCTAATAGACCAGTTTTTGAACGTCAAAATTAAATACCTATTAAAATATTTAAAATGTCAGTCTGTCGGTTAGTAGTAGGTAATTGATCGTCCCGAAGTATTTTTTTAAGGGTGTAAATCATCGAATGACTGTTCCCGCCTGGGTGAGGCGGGAGGGAGTGTCAGACTGTTACTGACTTAAAACCACCCCGTTCCTTCTCCTGCACGTCGAGCCGGAGCCCCGGTTACCCGTTAGGTTCTCCGCGACTCCGAATCGGCATCAGCCCTGTTGGGCCCCATCCGTAGTGGTCTGATGGTTGAGGCGCGCGCGGAACGCGACGTGCCGCACGCTTCGAACTCCCGTTCCTAAGTATAGATTCCTTTGGAGAAGAACAAGCAAGAAACTCCGTAGGTTACTCCATAGGTCCTCCACAGGCCATGTTATTGTTCCAAACTCCATGTTTCAGAGGATTCGATCATTGAGTAGTAATAATACTTCTCATAGTTAAATTTTTTGAGTGTTGTCTTGTAAATGCTCTGCCTGCTTTCTTATTTAGGGATTAAAAGATTAATGTTATGTTATGACAAAGTAATAATTTAAGGTTATCGACTGCTTTGAAGATTTATGATCTTTTTCTTATAATATTTATTAAAAAACTAATTCGAAATAGGGACTTGTGAATTATATTGCCCTACGTCTTCGAAGGATGTAGGAAGGAAGGAGTTTTTTCTTATTCGTAATTGACTCTTTGTCTTGCGATCTATTTCTTTCTATTAGGATTTCTAGTTGTACACTTCTTACACTATCTCTTTAGATTCTATCTTCGTTGGAAAACGACCTCATAAAATTTCGTTGGTTAATTTGATCCATAGTTTTCACCATTCCAATTTTTGTCTCATTGCTCTACACCGTAAACATTATTTTGTTTTCGTCCCGAAGTAAAATGGTTTTGTTTTACAAACTTACAGTACCTACACTATCAAAACATCACGCCATGTAATTTTCGAAGAGGTATTTCTCGTCGGGTGGCAAGTGCGACTCATAAGCGTAAGTCAGTGAATATTCTTTTATTTTTTTTTTTAAATTAGATCTTTATTTTATTTTATTTATTGAAAATATCTCTTTATGGCAAGTTGTTTTGCTGAAAATGAAATAAATTTCACGAGTTTTTTTTATGGAATCAGCCGGCTGAGCGTCTGCTCAGGATCACCTGATGGTAAGCAATCGGCGTCGCCCATGGACACATGAAACATCAGAGTCGTTCCAAGTGCGTTACTGGCCTTTTGGGAAATAGGAATTTGAGGATTGTTGGAGATTTGGAGATGGGGGGGATTAGGGAGTGGGATAATTGGGCCTCCGGTAACCTCACTCACACGACGAAACACAACGTAAGTGTTGTTTCACGTCGGTTCTCTGTTCGGCCGTCGAGGCGGCTCATTCGTCCCGAAGCATGGCTCTCCCACACTTGAGGAGTGTGACTAGTAAGGACTGGTGGATTTATTCGATTTTCTAAATTCTCAGTACCTGGAGCAGGTATGTTCGATAAATGATAACATCATCGATCTATGTTACTTATGAATAATATCTCTGCCTTCGAGAAATAAAAATAACGAGAAATAACTATCGTTGTGAGACTTTTTTTTTAATGGGACAAGCTCGCCACATCCTGCCAATATCGCTGCAACTTCTGTAAGACAAGTTCTTTAGTAGATAATCGTCGTGAGACCTACCAAATTAACTATATGCGTTTTGTGTAAAAATAACGGTTCGTTCACGGAGTAGGCGATGTCAATGCATGTGCTCATGAGGAAGAGTCCCTCTGTAACTTGAAACTAGTAGAGCTTTTCTCACAATATTTATGTGAGTAAACCATAATTTTTGGTGTGAATTTATGTGAGAAAGGTTTATTCTGCTTCTTGTATTCTTGATCTTTCGTAGAGCTAAATAAAGCTAAATCAAATTCACAATTAGTGAGGCAATAAAACTTCAGAAATGAAAATAGGTACAATTAATTTAATGATAAAAGTAGTAGACACTATCTTAATACATAATTTACACTCAGACTGACCTAACACACCACTGGTATATACATTATACTATTTGTACACAATATAATTACAAAATTAAAGACTAGTATCGTCAACGTACTATTGAAAAACGTATTCAATGTAGACAAAAGTGAAAATGTTTGTATTAAAGATAGATAATGTCCAATCAAAGAAAGACTCATCTTAACAAATAATTTTAAGGGAATTTGACACTTATATAAAAAGCAGAAAAAAGAAATTTAATAAAAGTTTTGAGTGTAGCTCATAGTGATAAAACAATTGAAATAAGTATCGGACAATGCAGAAAGGTATTGAAATCACAGTTAATTACATTACAAATGAATGTTTTAAACATTTAATACGAATAAAAAGCCGTTATATCTTTTTCAATTATATAAAAGAAGACGTACAAAATAAAATCAAAGACAGAAGATTTCATGAGTAGAAGTATAACATTAATGCAGAAACAGAACATTCATTCAGATATGTTACTGATTTTGTATAATAAATTAAACAAAAACAAGCTTTGGTTTAGAAGTTATAAGGATCATTAAAAATAAATAAAAAAATACAAATCCTAATGATATTGTTCTTAAATATCTCCTAATGGACGATCCTAAAAGCATTTTAGTAAAACAGCGGCTGACCTTACAGTAACACCTAGCTTATGATTTGAAATTTACATTTAAATTCTAAGAAAATTCATTACGTTGACACATCCGTTGGTTTACACTAGTCAGGTTAATTGAGCCTTTATATCTTTTACAATAAAATTACAATAATCTCCTCTGATATAAGTTTTATTTTCAAAGTCAAATGCTTCATTAAAAACAATCTACGCTCTATCTAATTTTCATTGGACGATGAAATTATATTATTTGCAACAGTTATTATTTTTCTGATAGTATATACGATCTGGATTTATCCTGTTTTAGGATAAGCAGATATACACATTGTCAATATGATTATTTGCACTCTCATTCGAACTTTGAACGTTAGTTACGAAACTCATGTATCTACACGTATTTTCTTTATAGTGTAAAAGCTTTCAGAGAGTTCATTAAGCATTTCGATCTGTACAAGAATGCGATGTATGTTTCAGAGTAACATTACAACTATTGTAATATGATCTATGGAATAACGCTAGCTACTAAAACATGGATTCGTAAACAAAATGAACACAATAAAAATCAAGACACCAAACCACACAAAAGAGCATAATCTATTCTGAATTAGTCAACATTTTGAAAATGATAAAAACTTGATGATTTTTCGTACCAATTAGACCAACAGTTCACTCGATTAATCGTCTTTGAAAACAATGGATTTAGCTAGATTCGCGGCTGTTCTCACTGGAGCCTACGACACTGGGTTGGGAGGTCGAGGTGGGGGCGACTTCGGGGGCAACTATCAATCCTTCTTTGATCCGCTTCTTCTGTTTCATCCGTCGGTTCTGGAACCATATCTTGACTTGAGTCTCGTTGAGCTGTAAGGCGGAGGCTATCTCTATCCTCCTCGCTCTTGTCAGATATTTGTTGAAGTGGAACTCCTTTTCTAGTTCTGTGAGCTGTTTGTTAGTAAAGTTAGTTCGGCCTGTGTTGTTCAGGTTGAGGAGAGGGTTGGCCAGCATCTGGCTGCCGGTCGGAGTGCGAAGACCTTCCTGGGGACTGCCAATGCCACCTTGACTGACGAACTCCGTCGGAGGAATCATCAGTTTGGGAGCTGAAACAAACGAAATAAAGTTTAATTATTGAGACGAAATGGATATTTAAATGAGTCACTAATGTAGCGGCCCTTCATTGTTGTCTTTCGCTAAAAAGTGTACACTTAGAGATTAATTTCATATACAGGTGGAACGTTTATGCTGACTTGCATAGTATAGAATAATATCCAATTGTTCAGAATAAGTATTTTGAGTAAACATTGGCATTCTTCCTTTTCCGGGCTATTGAAGTTCATGACTTTTGTTGTGAACACAGGTTTGTTTACCCAAACATCTCATTGGCACGAATAATCTTTTTAAAACGTACAAACTAAAGAAAGTCCGTGGGAGCCTGTCGGGCCCATTTATGACAGGTGTCACTTTTTTCTAAATCATTTGAAGAAAAAAAAAGAAGAAGTGAGATAAAAGATATTTCAATATTAGCCTAAAGACGACACCCCGCTGCGCAAGAGTGGCCCGTACTTGTTTCACGGTAAATCTTGGATTTGACGTACATTGTTCTTAGGTAAACATTCAGTGCGGTTATTATACTTATTATACCTTTGTTTGTGGTACACACGTTCGCGTTTGTTTGATATTCGAGGTGGACAGAATCCTATGTCCGACCACGTCTGACACGGCTATTGAAGCCATGTACGGAATTATGTTTGAATTAAAACCCGCGCAAATATTGGCACTCATATTTGTCTGGATTGTTTTTAATATTTTGATTTCGTAGAACTGGCCTTGCGGTATGCTTGTTGAATTCCTTGGAGCTAATTAGTTGTGAAATGTTTGTGGTCTAATTAAACAAAGATGTGCAAGGTTTTGGGAGAATTATTTTAATAAATATGATCGACGCCATTGCTAATGTTTGACGTGTGAGTAATAAAATTGAATTTATGTTACTTGAAGTAAAGACAAATACAGAAAGTAAATAATTTTAACCCAGAAAATAAAATTCGTGCGCACCAACTAAATTGACAA